GGAAGGTGAAATTGATTAAAGCTATTACCCTCTGCCCCAATGTGTTGCTGTATCATAGCATTCCAGAATATGTGATTGGTTTAGTAACATGAATCCGTTTTCCACCTAGAAACCCGATTTTCTTTTTCTAAAAAAAAAAAAAAAAGTTACAGATAATGGGAAGTGTTGATTTGGAATTCAGTTTGCAATTGGATGTGAGAAAAGGAAAAAAAAATAAAATAGAATTGTGTGGAAGTCCTATGCTGTTTCGCCTTTTCTGATTTTCAGCTTTGCATTTTTAATCTTATTATCCATTCAGTATTAGTGTTTAATTATGAGGGCCCAGGTTAGACCGGTAGTCTTTTTAGAAATTACGGACGATAAATATGCAAGTATCAGCTTGTTTCATGACAATGATATAATTAGAATTTCTATCTGCAGTTGTGAATGAGATCGAAAAATTTTCATTTTTTTAAAAGTAATTATCAGAAAATTTTCTGGTTCAACTTTAGTTAAATTCATTTGTATCGTGAACTTTTAGACTTAACGTTGAAAGACTAGTGTAAACATGAAATTTTGGAGTTGAATGGTGGGGATTTCTTTCATGGGAAATAGAGTAAAAAGCGGGTAGAAGAAGTATAAGTAGACGGGAAAAAACATTCATGAAAAGTAAATGGATTCTTAAAATTTACATTATTGTATATACCTAAAGAAACGGACTTGATTAATGTCTTTATTTACTTATTCATATTTTTTTTATATTTATTTTTATTTAATTGTCCATTTTAACAAATCAAGAAAGGACAATAAATTTTTTCTAATATACTCTTAATTAATTCTAGAAAATTTCTAATATTACTAAGTTGTAATTCATGATTTTTGGAACCAAAAAATACATTTATTATATTTAAGGAGTTGCATAATCTATTAAGTTAAAAGGTAAAACTGTAACTAACCTATGATAATAATTGGTGTCACTTCTTAAGTGTACAACTAAATAGGGACAGAGAGAATAAGAGCGATGAATTCTGGACTTGGAGAAACATAAGATGAAGTTATGGGATAAACATAAGATGAAGCTATGGAAGACTAAGTGCCCGTTTCGATGGACTTAATAAAAGCAGCTTTAAAAAAGTACTTTTAAAAGTGCTGAAACTTGTTTTTAAAATAAGCAGTTATGCGTTTGGATAAAAGAAAGATAAATATGTGGTCAACTTAAAACAGCTTATAAGCTAAAAAAAAAAAAGCACCCCTATCCCAGCTTTTAACTTTTGGCTTAAAATAAGTTTTTTTTAACTTAAAATAAGCTGTTTTGAGTATTGCCAAACAGCTAAATAAGTCAAAAACCAGCTTTTAAGTCAGTTTGACCAGTTTTTAAGCTGAGCTAAACAGGCTCTAAGAGAAAAATTCGTAGTCCTTGGCTTGTATAATGATGTTCCTTAGACCGCCGATTGGTGCCAAAACAGTCAACAGAACTCCCAGTATTATGCAAATCTGTCATTATTTTGGCTAATTAGTTGCAGTTTTAAGCTGAAAAAATGAAAATTAAGTGCACCATAACCATACCCAGTTAGTAGTCCAAGAGAGACCCCATTTCTTTGGTTTGTAGATTGAAAGCCACATGATGCAAGGGAGCTAAAGAAAAAAAGGTAGTGTTAGTGCAGCCATTCTAGATTTGGCAAGGGGAAATAGGAGGAAACTTACAAAATATGTTGTTGGGGCAAAAGCAAATCCTCCAAAGAATCCAAGAAGTCCCCCAAAGAATGGGAAGATGATTCCAACTATCATTGTGAAAGCTGCAAGCAACAGGCATTACAAATTTGATTGTATGGGATGGGACACAAGAAATGAAGGCAAACTTACCAACATAAAGGTTTCTGCTAGCAAATCTCAAGTACCATGTTGGCTTGAATCTACGTTTCTTTACCAGGTAAGTCTCAAGCATGTCAAACACTGGTATTGCATAGAGCTACACAGGAGAGATACATTTGAGTGAGTTTGTATGTATATTAAAAAATAAAGACATAGAGAGAGGTAATGGAGAGAGGAGAATGGATGTTTAACCTGATAGCTCCCAATGATGTGGATAACAACAAAGGCATTAGCAAGTACAATGAGCCAAGTAGGTTTGTTCAATGAGATGAGAATGTTGTCTGATACTGAATTCCCAAATGTATAATAGCCGATAAGTGCAACTGGGAAGTAACATAGAGCCACAACAATGTAAGCAACAACAACTCCCTTCCACATAGGTCCTTTAGAAGGCTTCTCAGGTGTTGAAGGGATGGTAGCTTGAATCTCCAACACCACATTATGACCTGCGTATGCAAAAGCCACTTCTCCCAATCCACCAAAAAAATTGAAAATTGCTTCCCCTGTGTTTTTAGCCCTGTACTCATAATTCACATCTGCTTGTACACCCTTTTCAAGTGAAGCTGCCCAAGCAATTGTACAGTAACTGTTGAACAAGACATGCATGCATACTCAACAAGTAAATAAAACTGTCGGTACATGTCCTAAATAAATAAAACTTACCTTAAAGACATGATAGCTGCAATCAAAGACACACCAGATATGGCATTGAAATTGGGAAGATGAGATAGCACAAAATGTACAGAGGCAAATATCATAATGTAATAGGTGAGTTTGATTTCTATGCAATTTCCAGGAGTGCAGACTAAATTGTGGATCTTCTGGAATGATTTTCCTCCAGTCACCATATAAACGATGTCAAGGCCAACTTCAACAACCAATTGTTGAGGCACCACGATATATAGCCCCAACTTTTTACCAAAAACATGCTGCCCAAGTTCATGATACCTATCGAAACGTTTCCCTGGAACCATTTCATGCATCTCAACCATTTGCCATAGAGTGTATAAAGTGATAACCCAAGATATAAACATCACTGCTACACCAGGTCCCCTGCCCATAAATCAAATCACGAAATTAAACAAAGCTAATCTAATTAATTGCTAATCAGTCAGTAATTACTTACCATCCCAGCTCTGACATGGCATATGGAAGACCCAGAACACCAGCACCAACCATCGCTGTAACATTGTGGAATGCTGAATACCACCATTTTGCATTCCTAGAAGAAGTAATCGGAAGCCATTCATCGATCTTCTTTTGTTCTTCCGTTCTTCCATCAGGCTGGCAAATTCAATTCATAGTCTTATAAACGATTTCACATTAATAAACAAAAATATATACAAAACACAGATTGCAGTACCGAATTTTTCTGTGGTGATGTAGCTGGCATATTGTTGTGACTATTTGTGATACAAGTTGTTATGAAGATTGCAATCGCTTCTAATTATGAATTCCTTAAGATATTACACGTTTATATATTTTTTAAAATTATGGAAAATATATCCAACATAAATTTGTTTTAAAATCCGAATGTGTCTCAATTCAGTTAAACACACTCTCCATTTACTCTACGCCTCACATGTATGCCTTTTTTTAATTACCAAATTAAATGAGAATGTATCTCTAAAACAAAGTGTTGTCACCGTTGACTATTGGAGCATGTTTGACTAGAAAAATATATATTTTTATTTTCAAAAAATGAAGTTGACAGGCTAGTTTGTTGAACTGTTCTTTTAATAAGGAATGTATACATCTTTAATTATATTTAAATCATTATGTTAAAATATACCAATACTTAATTTATTTTTTATTCATTTATATATAATATAACTTAAAATTTTGAATATGTATAAATACTTAATTAAAAATTATAAAAAATATTTAAAAAATAATTTTGATATTAAAAATGCATTGATATTTGTCATATTTTTTCATAATTTGACGCTCAAAGTATATTTTGAAAAATCATTAGCCAAATAGAATTTGCTTATTAAAATATTTTTCAAAAATACTTTTTTATAAAGCTATTTAAAAAGAAAAAATTATATAACTAAGTTTTGACTACAATTTAAATTTAAAACGGTTATCATTTCGTTTATATTGTTTATGAAGCACTTTTTTTTTTAGGAATACTTTTTTCACATTCCATACAAATCTACACCTTATCTCTTTTTACCACATCCACTCAATTTACTCCTTAAATCTCTCAACCTCATAAATACCTCAACTAATCAAAATTCAAAATTTGACTTCTTCCTCTTTTTTTCTTTCGTTTCTTTTATTTTTCTGTCTATGAGTATTTATATTCACGTGTTTGCACATATATTTTAAATGTTATAATTTTAAAAATACTTTATAAAATTTATCATCACTTGTAAAAAACTTTTTTTTTAAACTACTTATAATAATACACTATTACTAATTATATAATCATATTAACTTGCATCATGAAGCTTCACTAAAATTGTCAACGATTTAATATTATCAATACACTCTATTTAACAATTTAATATTATCAATATATCTAGTTCTTTGTTCATCCACCATGATTACTTGTAATAGAATTATAAAATCGTTACTTGTTAAATACCATCATTATAACATCATATAAATATACCTAAAAAGTTGTTTAGCCAAATTTCAAAGTAATTTATTGAATTTCAAAAAAGAGGCAAAATATTTGATAAAAAAATAGGTGAAATATACAAATTTGATTTGCATTAACTATTTGAACTATAGTTATGATAAAATAGACAAACTATAGCTACATGGCCTATTATGTTTTCTGGTATAGTTACTTGTGAAATTTCCCTTTTTAAAAAAGTAATTCTAGAAATAAACAAATTTTAGCACTAGCGTCAAACAAACAAGCTTAAGCTTTTAGTATGAAAAGAATATTTACAACAAAACCATCCATGCCATAATCATCGTCTTTATTTTTTTTTCATTATTGACCGCTATCAAAATCATATCATTAGTATTGAATAATAGCTAATTATTGCTATAATTGATTGCATGATTTTTATAAATTAGTCATTACCTTAGGATATTATTGTTAGCGTTGGATTGGTCATTTGCTATAATCTAACTCAAATCAATTTGCTTTCAAATCATAAAGTGTCCAAACAAGCGCTACTAATAATAATAATCGTTTGATATGAGTATCACTAATAAAATTGGATAAACAACATTCATGTATCCCAAAAACAGAGTGTGCAAATTCACTAATAATAACAGAGAGGTCTTGAGATTTTAAATTACATAAAAGAGTAAAAAAAAAGGTAGCAAGACAAAACACATAAAAGCTAGGAAAATTCAATAATTTATGAGCAAACAAACTTGAATCGAAGAAACAAACTACATGTTCCCTAATGGAAAAATTTATAGCCCTTTGCTCTTAAGATGATGGATCTCAAGGCGCCAATTGGTGCCAAAATCATCAACAGAAGTCCCAAAATTATGCAAATCTGTCATCACAAAAAACGAATCATCATCAGAAGAAGAAAAGAAGTATTAGAGTAAAATTAATACTAGAGTGATTCTTACCCAGTTAACTATCCATGAGAGACTGAATCTCTTTGGTTTATAGAGTGCAAGCCACATAATGCAAGGAAGCTGTAGAAGAAAAGAGAGAGTTATATGGTAATAGTAATAGTAATAGTTTAGTTGTATAAAAAAATTTGGAGACATACAAAATATGTTGTTGGGGCAAAAGCAAATCCTCCAAAGAATCCCAAAAGCCCACCAAAGAAAGGAATGGCGATAGCAACGAACATTGTGAAAGCTGGTTGAAACACAATACAAATGTTCGTTGATGAACAGTAATTGTTTTTCTTCATTGGGCATAGATAGAGAGCTTTAATTTCTTACCAACATAGATGGTTCTGGTAATAGCTCGCAAGTAGAAAGTAGGCTTGAACCTGAGTTTCTTGACAAGCAGAGTCTCCATCATGTCAAAAACTGGCATTGCATAGATCTGAACAATGTTGGGCGTTAGACTGGATAACAAAAATGTTGGGTGATAAACAAAAAAAAAGAAAAGCCAATTACCTGATAGCTCCCAATAACATGAATCACAACAAATAAGTTCGCCATGACAATGAGCCATGTAGGTTTCTCCAAGGATATAAGAATATTGTCTTCGACAGAATTCCCAAAGACCCAATAGCCAATCAGAGCAACAGGGAAATAGCAGACAGCTACAACCATGTAAGCAACGACAACACCCTTCCACATGGGTCCTTTGGAAGGCTTTTCGGGCGTTGAAGGAATGGTAGCTTGAATCTCTAACACCACATTGTGACCTGCATAAGCAAAAGCCACATCTCCCAATGCGCTGAAAAAGTTGAACACTACTCCCAAATCGGTTTTAGCGGTGAAGCTATAGTCCACATCCGGCTGCACGCCCTTGTGAACCGAAGCAGCCCACCCAATTGTAGAGTAACTAAATTCAATTCAATAGTTAGTCAGTCATGAGACAGTGCAAAATAGATACCGATAAGTGATTTCTGGATGGGATACCTCAAGGACATGACAGCGGCAGCCAAAGAGACAGCAGATATGGAATCTAAGTTGGGGAGATGAGATAGCACAAAATGGACAGAGGCAAATATCATGATGAAGTATGAAAGTTTCATGTTATAGCAATCGACTTTGCACACTAAATCATGGATCTTCATGAGTGATCTTCCTCCAGTAACCATATAAACAATGTCAACACCAACTTCCACAATTAGTTGTTGGGGCACAACAATCCATAATCCAAGCTTTTCCCCAAAAGCATGTTGACCCAACTCATGATATCTATCAAAACGTTTCCCTGGTACCATTTCGTGCATTTCAACCATTTGCCATAGTGTGTACAAAGTGATAATCCAAGATAACACCAACACCGTTACACCAGGTCCCCTAAATAAAAATTTAAAAATAAATAAATTAAAACAAACAAAAATTAATAGTATTATTAATACAGACGTACCATCCAAGCTGAGACATAGCATAAGGAAGACTCAGAACACCGGCTCCAACCATCGCAGTAACATTGTGGAATGTTGAATACCACCATTTTGCATTCCTAGAAGAAGTTACCGGAAGCCATTCATCGATCTTCCTCTCTTCTGCACTTCTTTCATCAACCTGTCATTGAAATTATTCAACTTTAAAAAATCAATTATTATTTCAAATACTTATAAACATTCTAACACTGTTTGCAAAATGAAAGTACAATACCATATTGTTTGTTGTATGACGAGTGAATGAAATCACAAATTGAATCAAGAATAACCTTTCTCTTATATATATAATATATATTCCTTCTGTGGAAAATCTTTTAATATAAATAATAATATTATATAAAGTTTTTACCTTATATGTTTACTCTACTCATATCTTATCTTTTCTATCAATGGAAACTTATTTATTAGAGAACAAAATATGTAAATATCATTCAATTCATTAATTGTTATTCCAAATTAAGAATATAACAATTGCATTCTACGTGACAATTTACACGTGAATTATATTATATAAGACTCAACATTATATATTTATTTGTACATATTTAAAATTGAAATATATAAATATAAAATAAAGTAAATGAAAGAACATATTTATATATTATGAGTGGGTAATATGTGATTATACTTTATCCATTTCTAAAATACACTTGCTATCTTGTTTTATTTTATTCTTATCCCCCCAATATATACTAAAACATTTCCCAATTCCTTTTTATTATATTCTCTAACTAAGATTTCGTGTCTTTTTAAAATAAATTTACCTTAAAATTTGCTGTCATTTTTAAAAAATCCATCATTAATACTGTTAATTAATATCATTCCTTAAATCCCTCTCAAATACTTCTTTTGTGGTACCCTTTTTCCTTCCCATAATCTTATTATATAAATGATATTTATATCTTTTTTTCCCCTCAAGTGGCTCTTTTTCTTTCTTTGTCCTTTTTACCTTTTTTTTTTTTTTACTCTCCCTCGTTTGTGGACATCTTTTAAAGAAAAATATCAAGTATAGAGTAATTTGATCAAATTATTCTTACTTATTATTTTTTAAAATTTAATACTTATTTATTTTGTATTACAATAATATCTCTTTATATTTATGACTATGGATAAAGGTGAAAAACGAATAACCAATTATGTCTAATTTTTTTTTATATTGACAAGTATTGTGAATCATCTAATTTATGTAAAGACAACAACTGGTCTGAAAATAACTCATTACATCCAACTTCCAAGTGGGTAATAGGGGTTCTCTCCTATTTTCTTTTTAACTTTTCGTCCAACAATAATTGTCTATTATATTAAAATTAATTATCTAACAATACTGGTTCAATTTAAAAAATCAAAAGATGATTTTCAAAACGTTAAAATTTAATAAAGTCAAAGAGTAATATAGTAATACTTCTTAAAAAATATGTCAAATCATTAGTGGATAACTAGTATTATTTATTGCACGTTTTGAGCTTTAGTATAAAAGACAACAAGTTTTACTCTACCATCGGTGAATGCTCGACAAGCAGTAGTCTTGATTTTTTTTTGTCCAGTTTAATAACACGGCCCAAGTTAGGTATTTTGAGACACTAAACCCAGTCAATGCTCTAGAAGTGATAGTGTGGAATTTGGTTTTAGTCTAACTCACATTTCAATTATCAAGTCTTATAATGAGTTTATCCATCTCATTAACTATTAAAGTGAGACTTTTATTATTCTTTAACGGATAGTGTTATTCTTTTTGTCCGGTTCAACAACACGGCCCCAGTTGGTATATTGAGACATTAAACCCTCTCAATTAACCATAAGTTCAGTCTTACAGTCAAAAGCTAGAATAAGATACGTTGTTCATCTAATATAAACTCTAATTCTTACTTATAGGGCTATATATATTTATCTCTACCAACGTAAACATGAATAAGAGAATGTTACCGCGTTTGAAAATATTTATGGTAAGTAAATATTTGAAGGACATAACTTCTTTTTCCCGTATATTGGACACTACTAAAAAATTAATAGAGGGGGGCAAGTAGTGAAAAGTTTGATAAGCTATATTTCTTACTATAGCAATATTTTTTATAAAAATTATAAAACTAAAAAAAGATCTTATAAAAGGGTACAGAACCAATTGGATGTGTGTATCTTGATGTAGATTTGGTCAACAAGTTCAGTGGTACCCTAAGAATCCCCTGTTTTCTAACAACTAGTTTGAGATCAAGACGTGTTGTTGATTTTTAATTGTATGTTTTACATTTTGATGATGCGTCCATGATAATAAAGACTCAAGTGACATTATGGTTTTTGTTTATTAGAAAGAAGAAAAGTGAAACAGAGACGCACAAAGATGTGTTATAAGTTTTGACAATGAACAACACCATGAAATCACCCATATCTTTACACATGAAGAAAAACTATACTCTAAAATGTTTTTATAGCCAACACACACGAAGGCAATATAGAAATTTCCTTTGCCAAACATACGTCTATCTAAATTTAATCAGATGGCGTAATTACTTGATCAATCATAAGAAACTTGTCCTAATTGTAAAATTTGTAGGTCTTTGCTTGTACTATGATGGATCTCAACCCACCAATTGGTGCTAAAACCATCAACAGAACTCCAAAAATAATGCAAATCTGTCACAAAACAACATATTAGTTAAGTGTATTATATAAAATGCAGAATCACAAAAATTGAAAATGTCACTTACCCAATTAGCAAGCCAAGAGAGACTCCATCTCCTTGGCTTGTAGATTGCTAGCCACATGATGCAAGGCAGCTGAAGAAAAATAAAAGAGTTATATGCACTACATAGAGATTAGATGTAGGGGAAAAAAACTCTTTATATATTCACTTACAAAATATGTTGTTGGGGCAAAAGCAAATCCTCCAAAGAATCCAAGAAGGCCACCAAAGAAAGGGAATGTGATTCCAACAAACATTGTGAAAGCTGCAATGACATAAAAAGACATTTGTTACAAGGACTATTTCAATGTTTTTATAGTATGCGACCAAGTCATGACTTACCAACATAGATGTTTCTGGTAACAAACCGCAAATACCAAGTAGGCCTGAATCTAAGTTTCTTAACAAGCACGGTCTCAATCATGTCAAACACTGGCATTGCGTAGATCTACAAGATTAAAGATTTGTTATAAGTAACTGAAATTTTGCAATTTAGATGATGAGAAGAGTAGATGGTAATACCTGATAGCTTCCAATAACATGTACAACGACAAACATGTTAGCCATGACAATGAGCCAGGTAGGTTTGTTCAAAGAGATGAGAATGTTGTCTTCCACTGCATTTCCAAACATCCAGTATCCAATAAAAGCAACAGGGAAGTAACAGAGGGCCACAACAATATAAGCAACAACAACTCCCCTCCACATAGGTACTTTGGAAGGTTTTTCAGGTGTTGAAGGAATTGTAGCTTGAATCTCCAACACCACATTATGACCCGCGTATGCAAAAGCCACTTCTCCCAATCCGCTTAGAAAATCAAACACAGTTCCTGCAGTGCTGTGAGCCTTGTACCCATAATCCACATTTGGTTGTACACCCTTCTTAACTGATGCCCCCCAAGCAATTGTAGAGTAACTACATCATCACAATACATAAATATGCAAAAACTTAGTAACCCTATGAAAAGGTACATTTATTATTTAAAGCAAGAAATTTTACCTTAAGGACATAACAGCTGCTGCCAAAGACACACCAGATATGGAATTGAAATTGGGGAGATGAGATAGCACAAAATGGACAGAGGCAAATATCATGATGAAGTATGAAAGTTTGATATTAGCGCAGCCATCTTCTTGTTTGCAAACCAAATCGTGCACCTTCTGAAGTGATTTTCCTCCGGTGACCATATAAACAATGTCAACACCAACTTCCACAATTAGTTGTTGGGGCACAACAATCCATAATCCAAGCTTTTCTCCAAAAGCATGTTGACCCAACTCATGGTATCTATCAAAACGTTTCCCTGGAACCATTTCGTGCATCTCAACCATTTGCCATAGCGTGTATAAAGTGATAATCCAAGATACCACCATCACAGTTACACCAGGTCCCCTGAAATTAAACTACTCCTTTCAGTTTATCGAACTTTTAATGTTTTTTTTTTTACTGAAAGAAAAACAGAGTATTGTATTGTACCATCCAAGCTCAGACATGGCATAAGGAAGACTGAGGACACCAGCACCAACCATAGCAGTAACATTGTGAAAAGCTGAATACCACCATTTTGCATTCCTAGAAGAAGTAATCGGAAGCCACGCATCGATCGCCTTCTCTTCTTCTGTTCTTGTATCAATCTACACTCATTTCCATAAGTATTTATATTCAAAAAACCATAAACATATACAGGATGTTTACACAACTTACAATACATTTTAGTTTGGTCTAAAACATCCAATTTTGGTCGTTTTAAACGTTTAACTTCGATACACTAACATAGTTATTATCGCACTCGAAGCAATTTTCATGTGTTAGTTATTATCGCACTCAAAGCAATTTTCATGTATTTTGTCTTTAGTAAGCTAATTTGTATCCTACATAAAAAAAAAAAAATTATTCAAAAGCAACGTGAATTTTGGCGTAAAACTGAGGAATTGGGAAAAAAAAAAGATTGGGATTTTAAATCGATAATCCATGTGACCCACTAATAATAAAGTATTGATAGTGTGAGATTTGTATAGTATGAAAAAGTCAACTAAAAAGTTGAGACGATTTTCTCATCGCACGTCTTCAGTGTATGTATAACAAGTTGCCGTGAATTCACGGTTGTCAATAAATAAGTAATTAAAGTCCTATGAAAGAACCCTACTGACCTAACGTGATGTACACACATGCAACGTTTAAACTGAATTTAATGATCCGAATTATTTTATTTATTTATTTTTAAAAATGTAATATCAGTTTGACTTGTTCAAGATTGATTCTAGACCACCAAACAAACAAGAAAGAGCTAGGAAAATTCAAAATTTTCTTATGAACCAAATTAAATGAACACAGAAACGAGCGAGATAGACTGGCTTTTTTGGTACAATAATATTTCAAGATCTAAAACTCAACCAAGCATTTCAATATTTAGCATTATCTCACACAACATTTATGGAAATTCTTGGTATCTCAAGAGTTTAACTTTTATAAATTAAACCATACTATATTGTTACGAGTAATCGGAAACAACAACCTAATAGGTCATAATACACTTGATATTGTCCTTGCATATACGTTAAATTCATACATGTTTGCAGAGAGAGAGAGTTACCTTGGAGTCATCGTAATTTGATGGAGCTTGAGTTCCCATGGCTACAAGTTGTGACTTGTGTTAAATCGGAAAAATGAAATGACCAAATAATTTTAAAAAGGGAAGAAACGGAGGAGAAAGAAGATTAATGAATATGGAAGACTTGGAAAAAATATCGAAGCTATCTGTCTTTTATAAACAAAAAAATAAAACTACATATTCTCTTAGCTGTGTATATTATTATGATGGATTCTCAGTCCTATAGTATGTATTTAAATTTAAAATAAAAATAAAACACCATCTTGGACCTAACAAGTAGCTAGAAGAGATTGAAAGTGACGTTTTTGTTTGACTTTGAATTTTGTACAAAAATAATATTGTCATCAACGAATTAGGCGATGAATTTTACACTATATATATACTATACAAGCTGCCATCAGTCTCATTGTTATTTGCTTATACTCCAAATAACAATTGTTTTGACTTAAAAGTTGTTTTCAGATTGGCTGTAGCACTCTCCTCGGAAAATTCCACCAACTCCTGAGTCAGACTATTTTTATTCTCCGGCCTGCAATTATTTGTTATATAATGTATCGTGTTGTGCGTTTAAAAATATTATTGCTATGATCGACTTTAAAACGCTAAATATACGAATTAACGACACTCATAATGAAGGAGAT